ATAGAATAATATCACACAGCTATAGTATAATATAACGACAGATATAGTACAATATTACCACAGAGATAGTATAATATTACCACAGATATAGTACAATATTACCACAGCTATAGAATAATATCACACAGCTATAGTATAATATAACCACAGATATAGTACAATATTACCACAGATATAGTATAATATTACCACAGATATAGTACAATATTACAGTACCACAACTATAGTATAATATCACACAGCTATAGTATAATATTACCACAGCTATAGTATAATATCACACAGCTATAGTACAACATTACCGCAGCTATATTATAATATTACCACAGCTATAGTACAATACTACCACAGCTATAGTACAATACTACCACAGCTATAGCACAACATTACCACAGCTATAGTACAATATTACCACAGCTATAGTACAATATTACCACAGCTATAGTATAATATCACACAGCTATAGTATAATATTACCACAACTATAGTACAATACTACCACAGCTATAGTATAATATCACACAGCTATAGTATAATATCACACAGCTATAGTATAATATTACCACAGCTATAGTGTAATATAACCACAGATATAGTATAATATTACCACAGATATAGTATAATATTTCCACAGATATAGTATAATAGTACCACAGCTATAGTATAATATTTATCACAGCTATAGTGTAATATCACACAGCTATAGTACAACATTTCCACAGCTATAGTATAATATTACCACAGCTTTAGTACAACATTACCACAGCTATAGTACAATATTACCACAGTTATAGTACAATACTACCACAACTATAGTACAATACTACCACAGTTATAGTACAACATTGCCACAGCTATAGTACAACATTACCACAGCTATAGTACAACATTGCCACAGCTATAGTTCAATACTACCACAGCTCTAGAACAATACTTCCACAACTATAGTACAAGACTGTCACAGCTATAGTACAATACTACCACAACTATAGTACAATACTACCACAACTATAGTACAATACTACCACAGTTATAGTACAATACTAGCACAGCTATAGTACAATACTACCACAGCTATAGTACAATACTAGCACAGCTATAGTACAATATAACAACAGCTATAGTACAATATTACCACAGCTATAGTACCACAGCTATATTTCATTACTACCACAGCTATAGTACAATATTACCACAGCTATAGTACAATATTACCACAGCTATAGTACGATATAACCACAGCTATAGTACAATATTACCACAGCTATAGTACCACAGCTATATTTCAATACTACCACAGCTATATTACCACAGCTATAGTACAATATTACCACAGCTATAGTACAATATTACCACATTTATAGTACCACAGCTATATTTCGATACTACCACAGCTATATTACCACAGCTATAGTACAATATTACCACAGCTATTGTGTGTTATTTGAAACAGGAGGGACATTGATAATAGTACAGATACAGCCAGTGGCTTGGACGGATTTGTCGGGACGTTTTCACCTCCGGTGACAAAATGAGCACCCTATTAGTATATATATCGTATATGGTGTATATCCCCGTATACTATCACAGCAGTAATGTGGCTAGATACACCAAATAGAAAGTCCGATCTATACAGTATACCCCTACATATATATACATGTAATATGTACTGTAGTGTTCTGATGGAAATAAAGCTGTGATTTCAAAAGAAGTTATTTTCCCCAAAAGCAGCAACGTGGCTATTTTCTAAACCCGGATTTCTTATAAGACTTTCCTAACCTCAGAAGTTAACGTTGTTGTTTAATTTTATAGCAATAGAAAATCTAATATTTGTTTATCACATAATATACTGTGTTATCCAGTGAATATACCCATGTCATATATTTTTGCGTATTAACCCAAATAATATGACCTATCAGCCCTGTGATTGGTTGTAAGTTTCAATTGTTTCAATTGTGACGTCACGCCTAGGACAAGTGCATGAGGTCACAGATTTACGCACTGGAGTCAAAATGGTGGCTTTTTACATTTCAAGGTTGCATTAAAATTGTCGTTTTACACGAAGAAGTGCCACAAATCTTGATTATGTGATAACAAGGATCTTACAATCGTTTTCATTTCATATGAAATTTATGAAACTCCTCACGAATTTTTCATTTTAGTTCGCCAGAGGCTCGCTAAATTGAAAAATTCTTAGACTCGTTTCATAAATCTCATATGAAATGAAACTCATGTAAGATCCTATATGCATTGTACATGTGTATTAACTTGAGAAACTACAAGTTGATACGAACTATATGTTTGAATTTGTTTGCTATATTCTAATGATACATGTATTCAGTTACACCAATGCCATGTAGCTAGCCGATAAGACTTATATTGTGTACGCATTATAAGCTTATACATAGATACAAGCGTATACTTGACCTATTCGTGCCAAAGACTTGATCAGTAGTCGACAGTTTTGCAACTAAATGGAATTTCTTTTACGCGTAGGAATACATAAGAGTTCAGACGCCGCCGATTCACTATCATAGACTGCTTCTGTTACTTGACCGTAATTAACTCATGTACTCAATTGCAACTAGTTCAATTATCTAAAGCGCCATATAACGGCACACGGAAGTGGCAATCTGTCCGATCTCCGACTCGGACAATAAGTATCATACATTTACATGTATTTCCTAAAGTCTGAGTAATGACTGGAAAGTGACCGAGATAACCCAAACGTACAGGATTTACATCCTACACCAATCCACTCCCGCTAACTCTCTTATTTCTTGAGCGCACACCTGGAATAGTTTCCCTATTCGTGCAGTAGAGTACATGAATTGTAGTGTTGCTTTTACTGGTGCAGTGTAAAGTTACGCGTTTACAAAAGCCAAGAAGCCACCATGTTGACGTCAATACACCCGGTCACCCTCGGGCGTATTAAATTATAATCAAACACTTTATCACAGAACAAGTCCACCATTTTTGTTCATAATAAGTTATGCTGTAGATGACTTGATCATTTATGTTCAGTCGTGTAATTAACCCGAGAACGCCCGAACCTCCAAATGGTGTCGATATCTGTATGACATTAAACTCCATCAATTTAAGTCTAATTACTGTACCAAGTAACTGCTTGATGACTATTTAGAACTATCATAAAATCTCTCGCTTATTTCTGGATCAAAGTTTGAAAATATTAGAATTAAAAGCTAAGAGCCTTGGTACCTCCTCCCGTTAAACAGCGTGGTACAAGCTAGTATTATCTCATCTCGTCATTTCTCAAATCCCATTTATTGGAATTAAAACCCAGTAAGAGACAGCGACGTCGGGCTGTGCAAGGTGGTGTAGGAGCTGATGAAAGTTACCTACTGCTATACAGTATAAGTATATACTCATTAATAACGGAAGTACAACGGCTCTACTCCATTACTGAACACACCAGACAAAATTTAATAGAATTTTTTAAAACTTCTTTTAGAAACAGATTGAGAACATTTGGTATGAAATATTGTTATTAGGAAATTGTACACTTTTAATGCCGTACTGTGAACGCTGTGCATATAATTAACACCATTCTCCTTACGCAAATACGTGAAGCTTGTTTTGTTATAACTGAGTTGTCTGAGTAAATATTGATACATTCCTACCCTACACTTAACGGTAACGAATTTCCTTTTATAATGTCTATACCTTCACGTAAACCCTTACATAATGTGTAGGAGAAAGCAACTACTGTTTTGGGTCTTCGATACAGCACACACGTTTTCAATGCATCAGTATATAGAAGGCCTAAATGATTTTTAAGTGGCTGCCAAAAAGACGTTTCTTAAAATTCAAAAACAATATTGTTCTGATGTCAGTTTTCTATACTATTGAGCCCATGGTTCTCTGTCTGTGATATGTAGCGTTACTCTCCCCACGTGTGCTAAACACCTACTATCATCGAGCGTAGATAATATTACTAAGATGCATTTTGTCTGTATGTGAACTATGATAATGTTGTCTGTATGTGAACTATCATACTTTTGTCTGCTTGTGAACTATCATAATTTTGTCTATTTGTTAACTATCATACTTTTGTCTGTTTGTTAACTATCATAATGTTGTCTGTATGTGAACTATCATACTTTTGTCTGTTTGTTAACTATCATAATTTTGTCTGTTTGTTAACTTTCATAATTTTGTCTGGTTCTTAACTATCATACTTTTGTCTGTTTGTTAACTATCATAATTTTGTCTGTTTGTTAAATATCATAATTTTGTCTGTTTGTTAACTATCATAATTTTGTCTGTTTGTTAACTATCATACTTTTGTCTGTTTGTTAACTATCATACTTTTGTCTGTTTGTTAACTATCATACTTTTGTCTGTTTCTTAACTATCATACTTTTGTCTGTTTGTAAACTATCATACTTTTGTCTGTTTGTTAACTATCATAATTTTGTCTGTTTGTTAACTATCATACTTTTGTCCCCTTGTTAACTATCATAATTTTGTCTGGTTCTGAACTATCATAATTTTGTCTGTTTGTTAACTATCATTATTTTGTCTGGTTGTGAACTATCATAATTTTGTCTGTTTGTTAACTATCATAATTTTGTCTGTTTGTTTACTATCATACTTTTGTCTGTTTGTTAACTGTCATAATTTTGTCTGTTTGTTTACTATCATAATGTTGTCTGTTTGTTAACTATCATACTTTTGTCTGTTTGTTAACTATCATAATGTTGTCTGTATGTGAACTATCATAATTTTGTCTGTTTGTTAACTATCATAATTTTGTCTGGTTGTGAACTGTCATAATTTTGTCTGGTTGTGAGCCATCATACCTTTGTCTGTTTGTTAACTATCATAATTTTGTCTGTTTGTCAACTATCATAATTTTGTCTGGTTTTAAACTATCAATATTTTTTCTGGTTGTGAACTATCATAATTTTGTCTGTTTGTGAACTTTTATAATGTTGTATATATATATATATATATATATACAACTATAACACCTCGTTTTCTATACATACACTGACCTAGCGTGGTAGGGTTGTGTTTAGTGTATATATGAGAACTAGGTTATGGGCACAGATTAAGTAGGCGACTGGCCTTTGTCCGGATTAATATCTGGACACAGTATAATTGTTTGAGAGTTGAACAGCTAACGGCATCACTAATCGCGTTTAAAATCTTAAATTGTCAAACAAAGGTATAGATTCTAAAATAGAATCTCTTCAGTCACAACAATGGAGTGTTAGGTTCGCCTGTTTGAGATAATCCACAGTTTTGGCATTTATAATGAAATATAACGGGTATGGCGGGTACACAACAGATCTGTCAAGTGGCCTTACCGGGTGCTTAAACCGTCATTGTACAGTATTACTTATATTGTTTTACAAACATCAATTAAAAGTATACTGATAAGGTAACTCAGTGGTATACTGATAAGGTAACTCAGTGGTAAACTGATAAGGTAACTCAGTGGTATACTCATAAGGTAACTCAGTGGTATACTCATAAGGTAACTCAGTGGTATACTCATAAGGTAAATCAGTGGTATACTGATAAGGTAACTCAGTGGTATACTGATAAGGTAACTCAGTGGTATACTGATAAGGTAACTCAGTGGTATACTCATGATGTAACTCAGTGGTAAACTGATAAGGTAACTCAGTGGTTAACTGATAAGTAACTCAGTGGTAAACTCATAAGGTAACTCAGTGGTATACTCATAAGGTAACTCAGTGGTATACTCATAGGGTAACTACGTGGTATACTCATAAGGTAACTCAGTGGTATACTCATAAATAAGGTAATTTAAATGTGTGAATACGTATAACTTAACTCAATGGGATATTGATAAGGAACTATATAGTATACGCATAAAGTATGTATCAAATGTATGTTTACTCAATATAAGGAAACTCAAATATATACACCATGTTGTGTATATTTAATATGGCAACTTTATAATCTAGTGCAATCCCCGTCGTACAATCAAATATTCAATATAAAACGGCTTGATTTAAAATCAAATGTTGTCGAACAGGATCAGAGATGATTTTAGTAACGATTTCCACAAAAAACAAATCATCGCATAAAGATTTTCGAGTTCAAAGACACGTAAGTTACGCAAGACAAGAAAAAGGAGTCGATGAAGTGTGTGCACTCAATGCTATAACTCTCCATACAGTTTCTGTAGTACCTCTGAGGCTAATACATAACATTCACAAGAAATATATAACGTTATATAGAGCACGCACGTATACTGAGCAATAATCCGAATTGCTAACCACATAATCCATTTGAACTTTCAGCACAAACATAATTATGCAAAACAAATAAAATTCCAAAATATTTAGGACGGGTTCTAGAGTATAAGGTTAATCCCGATTAGTCGTTTATAATGGTATCACAGCTTTCTGGTCCTTACACCTTACATCTCCCCTGTGGACAATAGCAGAACCCAGGGGCGACAATACATGTTTGCACAATCCCATGTCCAATCCCCACTACGCCTTCACCTGGCCCTCCTTCTGTCTGTCCTTCAACCAGGGCTTTATGTTACGTGAGCTGGGTATGTCCACATGTCCGTCTGTCTCCTCAATAATACGGTCGAACGTATTACCTCCCGTCCCACGCGCACTGTCGTATAAGTCACTGTCATATTCACTCTCCCAACCATTTTGAGCACCATTGTTGAGTTCTGTTTGAATGTGAGCAGAAAAGTCTTGATAGGTCCTCGGGGAGACCTGCGTATTCTTCTTTTTCTTACCTTTCAAAGAAACTCTTGTTTCACTATTTCGGATTGGCAGAAGCAGCGCCGCATGTGTTTGTGACCTCTGATGGTTCTTGACCTTGGTCTCCATGACAGGGCTGCCGATATTGTACGCGTCACGGCACGACTCGGTACGACGTAATGACCTCCGTGACGTTTGATCAATGTCACGTGCCGAATGCCATGGATTCAATTTTTCACTTTGTGAACTTGTCGGCAGAGAAAGGCTATTCGAGTTCCTGTAAATGTTAGGAAGTTTAAACTCATTATCCTCGTTTCCGGGGCTAACATTCAACGACGTTTTATCCGTATCTGTCGGTGATTCTAATTCAACGCTCTGTTGACCAGAAAATCCAATGTTGGAAGGACAACTTGGTGATTTACACAATCGCCTTCGTGACCTGTCCCGAGACTGACGACGGCGCGGGTTGGAATTCGAATTTGGAGTGGTCATGAAACTTGTGACACTGTTAGTCCGCGAGCCGTCTATTGTTGGCAACTTAAACACAGACTCGCTCGTGGAGGTGTCTCGAGGGAAGTCTATCTCCTTGTCTGGTTTAGACTCAGTAGACGACTCCGAGTCGTCCGTACTGGTCGAGTTGAGGGGACCAGACCGGAATATAGATGGTAGGGAACTCTCCTCCCGGGTAGAACTACGGGTTCGCATTTTGAAGTGATTTACCGATCGACAGTCAGCTTTGTATTTCTGGTATTCCAAACAGGTTATTTATACATCTGAAATATAAAAACAAATAAGACATACATTATAAAACAACGTTACAATATACAGTGGACTATTTTACAATAACAGAATGAGAGTAAGATCTACTTGACATTCAAAGAACCACTTATGTTATGTATGTACTTGTCAACCTCATCAGGTTAACGTTTAAGGATAAACTACATGTATCTTGTAATATGTATAACAGATAGATACGAAATATCTAGTAGTTATCAACTTTCTTGTGCTATATGTTTTATTTTTTAGTAATATATACAACATTTAAAGCTTAAGTGATTGCACTGCAAAGAAGCATGGACTCAGGTGGAATCTGTGTTTAGTAGAAATTAACATGTCAGCACAAAAACGTGTGTGTTGTGAGTAAAATGTATTTTAGGGAAAATAATTACACAACGCCTTCCTCGTCAGGCTATCCAAAATAGGTTAAGTACAGAACAAGCGAAAACAATGTAAATCTTGTTACACATGGACGCCTTTCAGCGAAACAGTAGAAACCAGAATTACTTACATTTTTAAGTCATTTGTGTTTAATTAGTATGTAGCTACACAGTGTAAAACCGTTAACGTTAAACATCCAACTACAACGAAAGTGTTTCTACTCGTTCTACTCGAAAAAACATAGCTCTGTTGATGTTGATTTTATGTAATCTGTTACAAACATTTATTGATACAAAGACTTAACGATGTTTACTTTTATTACAGCATGTTGATTCTTTAATACAACACAATATAAAGATTAGGAGGTTTACCTGTTTACATCTATATAACACGGTATAAAGATTAAGAGATGTACCTCTTTACGTCTATGTAACACGGTATAAAGATTAAGAGATGTACCTGTTTACGCCTATATAACACGGTATACAGATAAAGAGATGTTTCTGTTTACGTCCATATAACACGGTATACAGATGAAGAGATGTTTCTGTTTACGTATATATAACACGGTATAAAGATTATGAGATGATTCTGTTTACGTCTATATAAGACGGTATACAGATTAAGAGATGTTTCTGTTTACGTCTATATAACACGGTATAAAGATTAAGAGGTGTTTCTGTTTACGTCTATATAACACAGTATAAAGATTAAAAGATGTTTCTGGTTACGTCTATATAACATGGTATACAGATTATGAGATGTTTCTGTTTACGTCTATATAACACGGTATACAGATTAAAAGATGTTTCTGTTTACGTCTATATAACACGGTATAAAGATTAAGAGATGTACCTCTTTACGTCTATACAACACGGCATAAAGATAAAGAGATGTTTCTGTTTACGTCTATATAACACGGTATAAAGATTAAGAGATGTTTCTGTTTACGTCTATATAACACAGTATAAAGATTATGAGATGTTTCTGTTTACGTCTATATAACACGGTATACAGATTATGAGATGTTTCTGTTTACGTCTATATAACACGGCATAAAGATTATGAGATGTTTCTGTTTACGTCTATATAACATGGTATACAGATTAAGAGATGTTTCTGTTTACGTCTATATAACACGGCATAAAGATTATGAGATGGTTCTGTTTACGTCTATATAACATGGTATACAGATTAAGAGATGTTTCTGTTTACGTCTATATAACACAGTATACAGATTAAGAGATGTTTCTGTTTACGTCTATATAACACGTATACAGATTATGAGATGTACCTTTGTACATCTATATAACACGGTTTACAGGTTATGAGATGAATCTGTTTACGTCTATATGACATGGTATAAAGATCATGAGATAAACGCGCTCAGTTATATATATGATGGTTCAAATGAAGGAATATATTTATTGTCTCGGTAGACAGGGGAATACGTCATCATCATCATCATCATCATCATCAATGGTACACGTTAATCGAGGACGTAAATCACAGTACATTATGTATTGCTCATTACACAATTCGCAATATGCGTCGCAGAATAGTAAATGTCGTTATATTTAGAACTGACAATGAATTATATATACAATTAATGGCTTTTCGATGACATCTGAGATCAGTAATGACCAGTGGTCACTTTGTTGATGTGACGATGCGAGTGTTGCCATGTGACATATTGTTATCAATACAATGTACTGAGACTGTCAATATTAATATGAATGTTGTCATGACAACGATGATAGTTTTTCAATCATACACATTATGAAGATAGATTGTTGGTTAATTGTGTTTTCTGGTGTATTACTAGAGCGTTGACAGAGGCGGTAATGGTTTTGTTGACAAAAGTTCAGCGCTGATTTGTTAACAGACCAAGAAGTGGCGCAGATTTGTTGACAGATAACCATGGCACTAATAGTATCTATAATAACGGCGGTAGTTGACTAAAGTGTCACAGAGCTGTCACTTGAACTTAAAGTTATGTATGTTTTACATTGAACAATGTACAATATTAAAGATACCTGAATATTCTTCACTTTACACGACATTGAGACAATCGAACTTACATGTACACCAACGTCATAGACACACAGATAAACTTAAACATACTTCACATGTTACAACATAGAGACACCTACCCACACTCCACATTACATAACATACCGACACCTACCTGTACTCCACATTATATCACATACAGACAACTACCCACACTCCACATTATATAACATACAGACACCTACCCACACTCCACAGTATATCACATACAGACAAATAACCACACTCCACAGTATATCACATACAGACAACTACCCACACTCCACATTATATAACATCCCGACAACTATCCGTACTCCACATTATATAACATAGAGACACCTGCCCGTGCTCCACATTATATGACATAGAGACTCCTACCCGTACTCCACATTATATCACATACATATACCTACTCATACTCCACATTATATCACATACAGACAACTACCCACACTCCACATTATATAACATAGAGACACCTACCCGTACTCCACATTATATGACATAGAGACTCCTACCCGTACTCCACATTATATCACATACATATACCTACTCATACTCCACATTATATAACATACAGACACCTACCCACACTCCACATTATATAACATACTGTACAGACACCTACCCGCAATCCACATTATATAACATACAGACACATACCCATACTCCACATTATATAACATACAGACACCTTCCCACACTCCACATTATATAACATACAGACACCTACCCACACTCCACAGTAT